TTATAATATTGGAAATTTCACTGGACGAAATTGCACTAATTTTTGAAGCCAATTTGAATTATTGCAGAATTTTCCGAATATTTTGTGCGAATTCAAAATGGAGGAATTTTAAATAGCTATCGATCACGTGTTCGATAAAGTATCGATCGACACTGATCGACTATTCGCAGTGAAAATATTCGTTACACAATGGGCTAACGCTATACGAATTTTTAAACAAATTATCTATCCCAGAATCTCGGATTTTCGTATTTGCTTCTAACTCATTGTAAACCTTCCGCAGCTTTCACAAATAAGTTCACAATCTTCAACGTCATCCACGAGAACCGCAATTTATCACCTGACAACCAAACACGTTACCCAAGAAACATTCAATTACGCGTAAAACCTAACCAGGTAACCAAAGTCACGAGCCACTTATAATCGATGGAAATTGTAGATCATAAATTCGAGGATCGTATAAATCTACCGGTCCTCGACTCACGATGAAGAGGAAAGGAAGAAAAAGAACACGACACGCGTAAAATCTAGGCAGAAAATTAGTCATCGATCATGCTGCATAAAACATTTTAGATCATAACAGTATAAAACACCATACAGATCTTTTATTCTTGTCTTGTGATCTACCAATTTGCAAATGTCTTATAGCACCATAGCCAAAAAAGAATTCAACATCTAATACCTAATCAAGAAATTAAAGACTCATAAAATCATTTATAATGGATAGAAAGTATAGATCATACTTGAAACATTTTATCCTCGTTTTCTACTAAACGCTTCTCAAAAAGTAATGGGGAAAAATGAAGGACTACTCGCGTTTGATGGATATCCAGGATCTAGATTCAAAGATTTACTGATCTATTATATAGCCCTCAAAACCGAAAAGATGAAGAATTTTACGTAAAAGTTAACTAGAAAAATGGAAATACTGGTTACAAACGATGGAAATCGTACATATATGATAACACAAATAAATATTAAACACACACACAAAGAGAAAAGAAAATTCTACGTGTAGAACCTAATCAGAAAATCGAATCAAGTACTCACGATTGATGGACATTCTAGACTACAATACCAGTCTCGCATATATTTATAGATCTTCGTTCTACAATCTACCAATCTACCAAACACCTAAAATTGCGAAGGAAAAATTCTTTAGGCTTAAAGCCTAACTAGAAAATCGAAAATACCAGTCATGATGTATAGAAATCGTAGATCGCAGAATGAGCATCGAATAAATCCTTCTATCCTCGATCTATGATCTACCAATCTTCCGAAATGGAAAAAAGAAACAAAATTAAAAATTAAAAAGAGTTCATCTGCAAAACCTAATTTAATGATCAAGGATACCAGTTATAATGAGTGAAGATCGAAGATCGTGATCCAAGTATTGCGTAAATCCTTTTATCCTCGTTTTAAGATCTCAATTGACAGAAAATAAATAAATAAATAAATAAAATAAAATTCTAAATATAAAATATAATTTTTCAAAGCTGCCATATGCAATTAAAAAGAAAAATTTTATAAAACTCTACCACCTCACATTACTATCACTGAATCACCCTGGAACCAGTGAAACCAGCGAAATAATAATAAAGAGAATGAGCACCGAATAAATCCTTCCATCCTCGATCTATGATCTACCAATCTTCCAAAATAGAAAAGAGAAACAAGACTCAAAATTAAAAACAGTCCATCTGCAAAACCTAATCTAATGATCAAGGATATCAATCATGGTGCGTGAAGATCGAAGATCGCGATCCAAGCATTGCGTAAATCCTTTTACCCTCATTTTATGATCTACCAATCTTCCAAAATGGAAAAGAGAAACAAAATTAAAAATTAAAAAGAGTTCATCTGCAAAACCTAATCTAATGATCAAGGATACCAGTTATAATGAGTGAAGATCGAAGATCGTGATCAAAGTATTGCGTAAATCCTTTTATCCTCGTTTTATGATCTACCAATCTCTCAAAGAAAAGAAAAGGAAGAAAAATAAAATTCTACATTAAAAACTATCAACTATCTATCATACTATGTACCAACACTAGAAAATTTCCTAATTCTTCAAAGTTACCATATGCAATTAAAAACAAAAATTTTATAAAACTCTACCACCTGATCTCACGATCCATTGATCGTGGAATCGGCCTGTAAGCAGCGAAACGAGCGAAAAAATAATAAAAATGCAAAATAAAGGAAAAAGGAGATGGAAAAAGTAAAAAGATGGCGGCGAACGGAACCGTGTCGCAGCGCAGGGATACCCCAGCCGGGCAATTACCCGAACGAATGCTTAATTCACGTGAAAACAGTGGTTGGGCCGTGGGGCCCAGCGTGTTCCCGGACGCGTCTTGTCGCGGGCGAAAAAATTGCGAAGGACCGTGACGAATCGCGACCACGATACTCGCCTCCCTTTTTTCCCCGCCTTTAACGGGACCCATTAAAACGCCATTAAGCGCGCCGGCCGTGGGTTGAGAGCCACGGATAAATTGGTAACATCGGTCAGTGCCACCGTCGCGGGATAAATTCCCCGACAATAATTGCGCCGCGAGCCGAGAGAGGGCCGGCCCGGCACGATTATTCCGCTCACGGTCGGCCGTCCATTTTTCATCGAACCTGCCGAATCACCGTCGTGACATTCGGTCAACCGGACCGGCCGAAATTCCGCCTCCTCTCCCGCTCTGCACACCTTCTCCTCTCCTCTCCTTTCCCTCTCTCTTGCTCTCTCTTGGACCAACCTGTGGCAGTACGTCGCGAAGGCGCGATCGTTTTCGGAAGCAATTTGTCGCGACTCCCGATTCAGACGGATCAGGCCTGGACCACTTCTTGGCTGTCACTCGTGCCACTGCTCGCTTGTTAGGGTGAGTTCGCTTCGTTCAGGTGAGAGAAGAATGACCAGGTGAAGTAGGGACTGCAGGATGAGGATTTCGTGGATATCTAGAGACTCGTTTTAGATGCGAGGATGATTGTCCCAGGACATTCCGAGTTCAGTTGGAAATTTGTTTATGATGTATTTGGATTAGGATTGAGTGCGAAGAAGCAACTTTTCAGTGCATCATCCAAGTATCTTTATATTATATCTTCTGTGAGTATTATAATGTGTTCGATGGCTCTCTGAGGTCCACATTTGAGGTATTTGGTAGTTTGTATCTATTAGTTCAAAGTGGAGGAACTATATGGAAACGGTGTTTAAAATTTGACACCGTTTTGGGTATGATGAATTAAAATTGATCACGGGTTAGGTTTCCATGTGGGAAATTTGAGAAGAAGGAAACTGGCAACTTGGGTCTAGCTTGAGATAGGACAATGAAGGTTTGTGAATTTGAATTGTGGTGACCATCCTATATTTATCATCAGAAACTCACCGAATTTGATGGAATTTGTGTGAGAGTGAGACAATTTGCAAATAAATATTTCACACGTATTCTTTTTCATTGACCATTGTTCGTGTTAAGGGGGTGCAAACAGCCATCAAAGATAGAGGTTGCAATTCGCGACTTTTATAAGAAAATTAATTTGTACAAGTAGTATACTATCACTTGCAAGTGACAGTAACCTTTGACAGCAAATCAGAGATAGATACTCTCCCGATCTCGCTTTTACCTAACGATTCGTTGCAATCCGACACTGCCACAAATAAAATTAATTTATAAAAATAACATATATTAAAATTCGGTGTGTACGGGTTGCATATGATCCCTAGCTAGTGAGAGCAACGCTTGATCGTCAATCAGAGATAGGTATTCCCCTAAATTTCGTCTTTATCTAACGATTCGTCGCAATTCGATACTTTCATAAATAAAATTAATTTGTACCAATAATGTATATTAAAATTCGGTGTGTACGAGTCGTATACGATCCCTAGCTAGTGATAGCAACCCTTGACAACCAATCAGAAATAGGTACTCCCTCAAACTCATTTTTATCTAACGATTCGTCGCAATTCGAGACTTCCATAAATAAAATTAATTTGTATAAATAATATATATTAAAATTCGGTGTGTATGGGTTGCATATGATCCCTAACTAGTGATAGCAACCCTTGACAATCAATCAGAAATAGGTACTCCCTCAAACTCATTTTTATCTACCGATTCGTTGCAATTCGAGACTTCCATAAATAAAATTAATTTGTAAAAATAACATATATTAAAATTCGGTGTGTACGAGTCGTATACAACCCCTTGCAAGTGACAGCAACCCTTCACCGTCAGTTAAAGATAGGTGTTGCCCTAATCTTGTCTTTATCTACCGATTCATTGCAATTCGAGACTTCCACAAATAAAATTAATTTGTAAAAATAACATATATTAAAATTCGGTGTGTACGAGTCGTATACGATCCCTAGCTAGTGACAGCAACCCTTGACCGTCAATCAGAGATAGGTATTCCCCTAAATTTCATTTTTATCTACCGATTCGTTGCAATTTGAGACTTGCACAAATAAAATTAATTTGTAAAAATAACATATATTAAAATTCGGTGTGTACGTATCGTATACGACCCCTTGCAAGTGACAGCAACCCTTGACCGTCAGTTAAAGATAGGTGTTGCCCTAATCTTGTCTTTATCTACCGATTCGTTGCAATTCGAGACTTCCACAAATAAAATTAATTTGTAAAAATAACATATATTAAAATTCGGTGTGTACGAGTCGTATACGACCCCTAGCTAGTGACAGCAACCCTTGACCACTAATCAGAGACAGGTAATGCCTCGAACTCATTTTTATCTACCGATTCGTCGCAATTCGAGACTTCCATAAATAAAATTAATTTGTACCAATATTATATATTAAAATTCGGTGTGTACGAGTCGTATACGATCCCTAGCTAGTGACAGCAACCCCTGACCGTCAATCAGAGATAGGTATTCCCCTAAATTTCGTTTTTATCCACCGATTCGTCGTAATTCGAGACTTTCCCTTACCAGGGGACTTCCCTCGACCCAGGAAAACCCAGAGATCGAGAGATGAAGGAGAGGTAGGCCAGCGTTACCTTATAGAACGCGATCCACTGGGCCTGGTCGTGGCTCTGCTCCCGCCTGGGAATGTGCTCTCTCAAAGCGCCCTCGTCGACGACGGTCGTCTGAAAGCAAAATCGGAAACGCTGTTAAACCGGTCGACAAGACAAATGATCGTTGCAAAGGCGCGTTGGAATATCACGGTGGAAAGGAACGATCTCCTTTCTTTTCGCGTCCCGACGCGAGCAATCGAGACGTCCAGACGAGGAGTAACGCTCGCAGCGTGGAATTGGCACCGGGCAAACAATGATCGTGAAGGGGACAGAGCGGCGTTCGAAGGCAATTGCTCAACCCTTTCGCCGCGAAGGACATGTGTGCACGCAGAAGCATATGCGCATATGTTTCTATTGTGATTAACCCCTCGCGGTTTCTTTTCCAGGCTAATCGAGCGAACGGTTCGGTGTTGTAACACTTATCTCGCGATATCGAAACACGCTGCATGTACAGGGTGGACCGTGCATAACCCGGCCACGTTGATTCATTCGGGTTATTCGGTTGGTGAAGAAATTTCAAAATTTTGGCTCCTGTTTGGAAATGCGACGTGGGACAACAGTACCGGAAGATGAGGAGAGAATTTTATTTCATTTTTACTTTAGAATTGCTACAGAATTTAGATGATCAGACCATTGAGTTATTTATTGGTAATGAATAATGCACTGTATAGATGGCTACATACAGTTGTTTTATCTACTGCTAATAGCCTATTGGTACCTGTAGCGAAAATTTGATCTATCCACTGATCTCTCTAGAATTGCTATAGAATTTAAATGATCAGAGAATAGACTGTGGATTTGGTTTTATTAGTGTGAAAGCAAGTGTGTGAGGTCGAGTAATGGCACGAATGTAGATATGTATGTTTTTAGAAGTGTAAGTGGAAGATCTAGAATGCGTGCAGTTGCTATGGATCAGAGTCAATATGTTATAAGGAAGTTCAGATTGCTATAAGAAGCGTGAGAGCGAAGAATTAGGATATAAGATGTGTGTAAACTATAATTTTATAATAAATATACAGTTGTTATACAACAAACTCACATAGATAGGCAATTGAGTTATTTATTGGTAATGGATAATGCACTGTATAGATGGCTGTATGCAGTTGTTTTATGAGTGACACTAGGTATACGGGATCTGTCAATTTGACGGATGGGTTGCTCCAATTATATGATTTGATGAATTATACTAGAAATACTAGGGGGATTAAAATGACTCGTTTTGAACATTCTATTTTCGCGATTGCAGAAAATATGCAGTTGCTTTTGGTAAAAATTAGAATGATTTTAATAACCCTGAACTGTTAACTGTAACGCTGTCAAATTTTCCTTGTTGATAACACTTTGCCGTATAAATGGCGTAAAATTCAAATCCTGCGTGATTTTTGGGACATCCCATATATTTATTTAATTATACTATCTTTATTTTGATAGATGACATATGGAGAAGTATTCAATTTTAATTAACCACTGTATCTCTAAAATCATTTACAAATTTTTAACTAGAAGCTTCTGAATTGTCTAACGTTTCGAAATATCATAGTCATAATCCAATTTTATCACTGATGGAAGTCACCACATGTACAGTGGCCAATTAAAATTAGATACAACTTCAGTCTTGCATCTCTGCACACGAGTATTGACTCTCAATCACCATATATTTCAATACCAGAAATGAAAATTAGCTACCAAATATGAGACAATAATTAAATTAGACGTAACTACAAATGATTTTCTATTTTTATTTCAACATAAACGGTATCACCGAGGTCAGAAAAATATAAAAGCTTCGAATGGTCACATCTCTCGGTGCAAAGAGTCAACACGATTATTTTTAATTAAATCGCAGTGCGAATTAAGTCGATCGTGCTCACCTTGACACGGCTCAAAGGTAACTGCGATTCGATCGAGTCCTCCGTGACAGAGCTTTGCAGCAGCAGGGCGTGGGAAACGTTCACTCGTCCCTGCGAAACAAACATAAATCACCGTTGAACCTCCTCGCATCAACCCTATAACATCTTTCCTAAAATCTCCTTAACCCCTTGCACTACGTGATATACTATGACTGAGTGCGAAATTGCCGCGAGCTCATTCCAGATATTCATATATGGCCCCAGACTAAGACCACGTGTCAGACTCGTGATATTCATGTTCGACCCGAAATGCCGACAACGTGTCAGGCTCGTGATAATCATGTTCGACCCGAAATGCCGACAACGTGTCAAACTCGTGATATTCATGTTCGACCCGAAGCGTCGATCACGAGTCAGACTCGTGATATTCAAGTTTGGCCTAAAATTTCCATCACGAGTCAGACACGTGAAAATAGTGCAAGGGGGTTAAAGGAAAAAATTCTAAAAAGCACAGAGAGAAATTCGTTTACCTGCACGACAGTGAGGACCTTGTCAAGGAACTCGAGGCACTCTGGAGCGTGTCCTCGGACAAGAAGGGTGAATCCGTTGCTGGCGATGTCGGAGCTGCAATCAGAGGATAAAGAAGATCAGTGGGGTGACGAGAGATCGTCGTTGGACGATGCGAATTGCTCGGGATAAATTATCGGGACATTCCGTGCATACGCGTGAGTCACCGTGATACGGTAGTCGACGGCTTGACAAGATCTCCCACGTGAAGCGGCGTGTCGCCGCGATTTCTCCTCCGAGTCATGCCAGCAGAGTGAAACGAGTCATTCGTCGTGTCGACACGTTCGCGCGCGCGCGAGGCCACGGCCTGATCCATCGATCAGCCCGATGGATCCTTCCGATCTGACCTTCGTGCCGGATTATCCCATGATTCCCTACGCTTCTCGAACAGCTCTTGACACCCAATAGCGACCTGACGAGGTCATCGATGACGAAGAGTAATAATCATTCAACAGTACACCGATCTATTTGTTTCTAATACCTGGTTCCACGTATTCTGAATTTCGCGGGAAAAATTACGGGAGGCTTTTAAATTCAAGGGAGTGTTCTTGTGGTGCACGGTTTGGAAAAATCGATTATGTTTTTTTTTACACTATTGGGAAGTGTATGCTTTCGAAAATGTCTGTGTAAAAGGATTTGCTCGAATTCGTAAAATTGGCGAAGTTATAGATGTTCAAAATGCGGAGGGTAGGTATTGTACAATGGGGAACGAAAACTTTGAATGCGTTTTTCTCGAAACCGTACTTTTTGAACTAATTGACGGGATATCTCGAGTTCTGGTTGATCGATTGGCTCCAAATTTGGAGGAGACCTTCATCGGATGTACCTTCATCGTGTGAACAACGGATTTAAAAATCCGATAATTTTTTCTATCTTTTTTACCACCCAAAGTATGAAAAGCATGGGTAAAATCAATTTTGAACTTCAAAATGCTGCCATTTGCTTTAATTTTCGAAATTTCCTTGTTTCGGTGGTTCATGTTATAGCTGTATTTATACTAATTGAGATGCTGCTTAGTTTGTTCGTTTCAGATAACCAGATCTAAATTCATCAAATGTGGACATATATGACGTCGACTGTCGACTTTCCTGACATCACGACCTTCGGAATCGACTCTATACTGAGAGACAGTCACAGACCAACTGTTACGTCAACTGTCACATTAACTGTCACCTTTCGTATATTACTTTTAAAACGTCAAACTGCCATTATGAAAAAAAGGATCGATTTTTTTCAAAATTTCCGGCTGTCATGCACACGTGTACTTCCGAGTGGTTTCAGCAAAGGCACAGTGGATCATACGGTGGTATCGAATGCAGGAAAAGCGTATCAGGATCCTGCATTACGCTGCGACACGTGGGTGGTTGGCATAAGTGTGCAGCGTTTCTCACGCGGCTCCAGTGGCAGCCGACCACCCTCTCCGCCCGCCCCTCATAGCCTTTTCATACACGCGGCGATCATGCATCCACTCGAACAGTGGCGTATGCAGCGCACAATGCCGTCCTTTGTACTCGCGATCGCTTTAATCCACCTCGAGCCTCGCGCTAGCTTTCATGCCTTCGATTGACAAACGAAAATCGCGCAACACGGTCTATCTGCATTCGTCACGGAACACCCAAGGAATCAGCCAGTGCAGACGGTATTATTCGGGACACCCGTTGCACTCGCTGTATCGCATGATCGATAACTAACACAGAATCATTGATCTCGAAATATTCCTTCCTGCAGATAATCAAAACGTATACCTGCTTTTGAAATAATTAAACTCGTATCGAGATAAAACTGCAATTAATTCTTTGATTTGCGATTTAAGTTTCGGATAGTGGGTGCCATAATCGACAACAACGTCTGTCACACGTTGAGCCAATTGAAGAATACCGATTATCATCTAGTGCCAAGTAATAAATATTATTAATAAAATATCAAGTTGGTTTTGCCTATTGTATTATTACAATATGTTTGAGTGTATTAAATATCAAGATTTCGATTTCGACTGTGTGTATAATGAAGTTGACCACCCAACCATTTATGTTCCTAATAGTGGGTGCCATAATCAAGAACAACGTCTGTCACACGTCGAGCCACTTCAAGAATACCGATTATTATCTAATGTCAATGATAAGAGAAGAAAATAATTAATATTATTAATAAAATATCACGTTGGTTTAATACCCCCTCCCCCATTGTCACATATTCGAGCGTGTTAAATATCAAGATTTCGATTTCGTTGTGTATAATGAAGTTGACCACCCAACCATTTATGTTCCTAATAGTGGGTGCCATAATCAACAACAACGTCTGCCACACGTCGAGCCACTTCAAGAATACCGATTATTATCTGATGTCAATGATAAGAGAAGAAAATAATTAATAAATATTATTAACCCTTTGCACTCAAGAGGCGACTGTCGATCGCCATTTAATCAGATTCTATAGATCGATGTTAATATATTAAATTCAAAATTATCCACTAACGCGTGGAACGTGGAAGTAAAATAATTCTACGTCTTAATTTCCATACGGATTTCTTATGTATCGTTTTAAAAATATTGTCAACCGTATGGCAGAAAGTCTTTGAATTACTATTTTTCTCTAATGACAAAATCGTCGAGTGCAAAGGGTTAATAAAATATTGCGTTGGTTTAATACCCCTTCCCCCATTGTCACATATTCGAACGTGTCAAATATCAAGATTTCGATTTCTGTCGTGTGTATAATAAAGTTGACCACCCCTGGCAAGGATTCGATGAATGGTGAAATGATAGTTTCCGAGACGACACAGGCTAGGCTAGGCCAAGATATTTATTGAATTTACAGGCTGTTTTCATGCACGGTAATGATACGTTCTCAGCGTCACGGAACAGTTAGTCACGCGTTTCCCTGAACCGTCGATCGATTCGATAAGCCAGCCGATTTTTCCCCTGGCTGCATTCGCGATCGCACGAAGGGACACAGAGTCTAATTGGATAGTACAGGTAATAGTGTCAAGGCGCAAGAAATCGACGGAATGGGATAGCCGCGAGTAATTTGGGTCCGTTAGAAAGCAATTCTATTGTATAGGTGTGCAGAGAAAACCGTAATGCCTGTTAAAATTTCCATCCCCAGCGGAAACGTCGAAATATCTCACGATCCTGTGTATTCTCCGCACGATCGACAGCTGGAGGAGACAAATCGAGGAGCCACCTGCCAGCCGGGCGTTTACGAGCCATAACTCCGGCAAAGAAATGTCGACTGTCTGACAAAACGTAACTACCCTGTTCGAAAGAAGAAGGATCCCTTGAGGTAACAGGGAAACCACGGAAGTCGGCGGAACTGACGCAACGTATTGCATCTCAGGCCTCCGAAACGGAGACCACGAACGCTAACGCGGCATTTACGCGTTCCTCGACGCGATTTCCATGGAAAATTCTGCAACGCGAGAGTCGCTCTCAATTAACCCCGGGGACCGTTCGTGACACTTGGATTTACAATTCGATCGTAACTGTCTGCCTAACCTAACGCCACTGCCCATTGCCGTGGAAGAAACTCCGTGTATTAGCAGCATTGTGAAGCCGAAGGTTGCCGGTAAAACAGCGCGTTTCGCGACAGCCTTATACCTAAAACCGCAACCGAACGCGCTTCCTGGGTGGGCAAATGTTGTCGGGGCCTCGGAGAGATAGACTATTGCTTCGAAGTTGACTGAGATGCGACGTCTCTTCGTTTGGAAGGTAGAGAGAACTCTGAATGCGAGTTACTGAGACCCTAAGTCAACAAGGATGCGATATTTCTTTGTTCTGAAAGAAGAAAGAAGTTAGAAAGAAGTTTATGTGCGCATGAACACGCCTCGAAATCGACGTTTCACTGTTTTGAACGCATTGGAAACCCTAGATACGAGTGAACACGCACCAAAGTCGACGCTTCTCTGTCCTAAACGCTGCAAAATCCCTGAATGTGAGTGAATGCGTTTCAAAGCCGACGTATCGTTAATCTGAACGCTGCGAGAACTCTTGGCGCGAGTTACTATGCTTCAAAATCGACATCTCACTGTTCTGAACACGGTAAAGACTCTGGACGCGAGTTCCCGCGCGTCAAAGTCACCTAGAATGCGACGTTTCTGTCCCGAACGCAGCGTAAGCCTCCGCCGGTGCAGCTATGGCGCGTTTAGAATCCGCTGGTGGCTCAAGGCCACTCCCCCACCACGCGCGACGCGTCATCCCCACCCCTGCGCGCTCGATACCCGATACAGGCGTAAATCAGCGCTGTCCATGCCTCGCGAGCTTCCCCCACTCCCGCCATCCACACTGTTTAAGATCCGACTATATACGATGTCTTTCTAACCTTTCTATCTGATACGGTTGATATAAGAGTCCATAAGAGAGCTTCACCAGTAAAGAATACCGATTTAGGTGGAGTCTCCGGCTTCGTATTCCGCGTGTTCGATAAAACAACCGTGATGGCGCGAACGGGGAGAAATTGGGACGAGATTCGCGTTTCAAGGATCTCGAGGAAGTAATTAATTTCGTTGATATACACGTGCGTAGAATCCAATTCCTAACGACGATAATCCAGTTTGCGACTCGTGTCAGGCGTCCTGAGTCAATTTGTTCGAACGGCGGCTCGCTAGAGAGCGCCAGTGTCGCGTCAGGAGCGTCGTTAGCGGTTGGAGCCCCCTGTCCAACGTTTCGATTAATATGCTCGGAGGAAAGAATCGAGTGAAATACGACGGTGATAAGAATCGAGCTCGTAATTACGACGCTGTCGTCGACCGTATGCAAATCGGTGTCGTCCTCGCGGAGAAATTTGCCAACGACCGGGTCGAGACAATGGTCCATTAGCATGGAGAGAAATATTGCCGTGAATTTATCGCTGGATATCCCTGGGGTTATTATCGCGAAAATAACTAGCACGGATGTTGCACGTGTCTACGCTTGTCTATCCCATTTTTCTGTTTGTCTTCCTCGCGAGGCGTAGAGGAAAATTATAGGAAGTGAAAGTGAAACTCAGTCGACGAGTCGGTCGACGTGTAAATCTGCAAATGAAACGAAGAACGCGAAATCATGGCGGGATGCATAAGTGGA